AATTAAAATATTTCTCTTTAAAAAATTTCTCCATGAATTGTCTTTTTTGCATCTAGCATATTAAAAACAGATTATGCTTTCTAACTAGAGATGGAACTAAAAGAAGAAAATTGTGTTCCTCTACTTCACCTAGAAACAAGGGTTTATTTACATGATGTCCTTTCTCAGTGTTGTGGTCAACTGTGAGGAGCAGGACCATCTTTACAGCAAGGCTAAATAACCACTTGAAGACTCCCCCCCAACTTGGCCATGCATGCTTATTGCATATTTTGGGTGGAGTTGTAAGGCATGAGAAAGGTGGCCTGTCACTTTTGCACATTCGAGAATAATTTTGCACATTCAAGAAATTTTCCTTGAGAAATGCCATGTTTGGAACAGCTTCCAGAGATTGTTTGAGAACAAAAAACATTAAAGCTCGTGCATTACATTTAGAAGCACAATACATTGGGGAACATTTTCAAAAGCTCAAGGAAAAGGCTGTTTTTCCATTGAGTTAATTAGTAAATAAGTGAGCATATTGTTGCATATAGGTTTGTGTTCAGGGCTTTCAAATGTCACATCCTGCCACAATTAACAGCTAAATGAGCATTCTTGGCCCCTGACCTATAAATAAATGTTCCAATTCTGCAACTTGCTCACAGGTTCTTAAGGAGTTGTTCTAAACCAAAAGAGTGTACAACTTGGTTAGAAGTCTGCAAACCACAAATGCAATACATTTGTCCTTTTTTAAAAAGAAAAAACAAAAAAACAAAACAGAAATATGTATTAGCATTTTGGAATAGTGACTAAGAAGAACTGACATCCATTTTCACATTTAAATAATTATTCATAATACTGAAGCAGTCAAAATTTCTATAGGAAGGCATGTGGCCTCTCACAAAGGAATACAGTAGTGCTCAGCTGCAACCATCGAATGCTTCCTTTTTCAGTTTGTCTAGGCTTGTTCACTTTTTGTAAGGAGTGTATGTTGGGGACTATCGGCAATCCTTTAAGAAAAGAATTCAAAAGGTGATTTACAATTTGCTGGTGCTATTCCCTAAATGCCTTTTTGCCGTATGTCCTAATTTTATGAAAAATTAAGGACATTAATCCAGGGGATAAATGCACTACTCAAGATATACTTGGGCACTAGTGCTCAAGTCAAAGCTTAGGATGTGGTTGAGTGACAAACAGAATTCCTTTCCAACCTATTTGAACACTAGCACCCTGGAAATTCATATGCTTTTCTAAGGACAGAATTTAAAACTCAGGCAAACAGTGCACAGCTGAACTTGCTGTCCCATTCTGTTTGAATTTAATCTTCCTTGCTCTCCCTTTCCCGTGCCTTCTTCCTACCCTTTTTATATCTGACACTTTTTAATGATTTCCTCCAGATTTATTTTTCTTTCTAAAACACATTTTATAAGTTGTAACACAGAGATCTTAAAAGAGGCAAAAGGGTAGAGAATATTAGTTAATCTTAATTTTGGAGACTTAAGCATTTAAGCTCATATACATGTGGTCTGCTTATTTTTTTACTTTATTACACTACAAAATTCAGACTTAATGATGCTGCAGTTTGGGCACTTTGGATGATCCACACTTCATAATGGTATGAACACTATCAACCTTCCAATAGTTATTGTTATTAGTGGCTTTATTAATTAATAGTGATAAATTTTTAAATTCTGTACATATGCCCACTATCCTTTCACCTGGATTGTACATCAAATTTTCAAGTTATTTTTAACCATAGGCATAGGAGCAGATAGAAAAAAAAGAAGGAAATTGAATGTGGGGAAGTTAGCATGTTAACTGAAATAAGATTCTATGTGTTGCACTTATGCTAACAGAAAGGAGAAAAGACCCAAACTCGGTGGCTTAGGACATCCTGCTTGCGGCCAAGGTCAGAGTTTGATTGCTTGCCAGAGACACTTTCTGGTGCTTCTCTGTTCCACCAGAAGACAAAAGGGTAATGGCTGTAATAATATGGATGGATCCTTGCCGCTTAATGATCACTAAAGGGATTTCACGAATGAGTGAATGAACATTAGCTCAAAGGACACTGACAGAGTGAAGTCAGCAGTGGCAAACTTCAACAATTGAAGAACAAGATGATAAAAACCATTTAAGTGGCCGGTTACATTTTGTTCAAGATTTTATTATCTAATTTCAAAGACAGCCCCATATCTTACTTTGCATTATTTTGAAATTATAGTCAAAGTACCCTATATATAGATATTATATGCATCTAAGCCTTTATATTGCCAGTTAGTGTGTGTGTGCTTGGCCAGGCATCATCGCTGTGCAAACTACAAAATACAATTGAGCACATAATTGTCCCCAGTTTGAAAACTTAATTCTGTCACCTTGGACCAACTATAAAACCTTGAAATAGAGATAGTTCCTATAATACCTGTCTCTCACTATACAGCTTGGTGCAGATTAACTAGTTATGAAGAAGATTTGAAGATAAAAGTTCCTGTTTATTATTGCTGTTAGCCCTCAGGTTCAGCACCAAAAAAAAAAAAAAAAAAAAAAAAAAAGCTATAAAAATTGCCTCTAGCTCCAAATTTCGCATTCGTAGAAATGATTCCCACAAAGTTGCATGATGAATTAGGCTAACCGGTTTTTTGACTGCAAGCACTCACAGGCAGGATTTATGAATGGAAACATGGGAAGGCCACTCTAGCCAGTTCTGTAGCCCCATACTTTCTCCCTGGGCTATTTATAGAAAGTGTATGGCCAGTGGAAAAGATCACATTTATTTTTACATGCCAGTCATGACATGACTGAAGAACTCGCTTCCTCTGTCTGGGAAGGTCATCCTCTTCACCTGAGCTGCAAGAAGGCAGGGAAGAAAGGAACCACTTTAGCCAACTAAGCCAGTCTGAGTCAGCCCCAGAGACCAACCCACAGGGTGACAGGCACTGAAGTCAAACACCCTCGTTTCCCAGGCACCACTGTATGGCGCTGCTCCTTGAGATGTCATCCAGATCATGACTAACAAGTAAAAATGAAATGTATTACATAATATGCTTCAAAATTTTACTGCCAAAATAGATTGTATAGAGATAATGGAGTGAATTCTTATTTATAATTTGTCCTACATTTCAAACAGCTGAACACAACAAAGTAAAACTGAATTTTAACGATGTGGCAAAATGGAAAGCGTGAAAAATATTTTTGACGATATTTCATTCTGATTGCCACATTATCCCTGAAACAGGTAATAAACCTGGATAGTTCTATGCAATCGGGGAGACTCTAAGTAAACATTTGCTTCTAAAATAGCATGATTTATCTGGACAGAAATCTGATATAATTTAGCAAATAGCCTATACAGTTTAATAAATCAACCCTGGTTTCAAGTAGTGTATAGGGTATCTATTTGCAAACATGAAGTGAAGCCAAACCACTGCTTTCAACTAGAATGTCCTCTTGTCAATATTATATGCAGTATATACAATCTGGGATGGAATGGGAAAGGGAACGTGGAGAAGGGAAAAGGCAAAGGGAGAAGGAAAGTGAGTCCTCATTCTCTCTGGGACATACTGGGTGCTAAAATCTTCACAGGGAAAAGTGTGTCATGTCACTGGGCTCATGCATCATAATCACTTGAAAATGATATGGGCATAATTTTATCCTTAAGTGGCCTCTGCTTAAGGTCAATGACACAGGGCAAGAAGAGACTTCTGTTTGTGGACCTGGATGACTTACAACAAAAGCTTAAAATGACAAATTTGGGGTTTAGTTCATGTTCTTAAACTCATCAATCCTCTTTAGAAGTCTTCCTCTTGCAAATTCCTTCTGAAAGGCAGGTCCCATTTATAAGGAAGCTACAAAATACCCTTCAACCTGTTTTTCTAGCTTCTAAATCAACATTCTTTGGGGCTCTAGAAGAGACAGCAATGACATGCAAGTAAATTTGCATGTGGAAATATTCTGATTTCCACAGTTGTCCTTGAACACACTGAATTAAGTTACAGCTGAAGAATAACATCTGTGGTAAGCACAAATTATCAGCCTCTGTAACCGAACAGGAATCTCCTTGCACTTCACAAAGGACACTGATACTCAGCAACTGTGCTAAGTGTATTACAATCCCAGTAAGAGGTTCTAAATTAAATATAGACATATATAAATTTAACTTCTGTGTGAAAATTAACACACACAAGGATACACACATATAGGAATACTGGTTTCTCTGGGGAATGGTGCTAAGCTTCTCTGTTTACAAATACAGAAGTGATTAAAAGCATAAGCAAAAACAGAAATCTTTTTAGGAATGCCAGCCTACCAGTGCTGAGATAAGTGTTCATCTACCTTACGTGCTTTATCTAAATTATTCTATGAAGTCAAGACTTCTAATTCAATGACTTACTTGGTTCTTAACCAAATCAACTTCTCAGTAAGTGTGGTAAGTATTTAAATAAACCGCCTCAGTGGTTTGTGTTAATCTAGAGTGGCCATCTCAATTACATTTATAAGAAATGCGTAAAGAACACTGGCCAATCTGGTTGTTAGAAAGGATCTCAGAGGCATGTTCATGAATGTTTCAAGGATTTAGACTGACTGCCAATCATTTCAATAGTCTGGATCCAAATGAGACTTCAGTGTTTAACTGTGCAAGTGTAATCTTATTTAACTCAACATTTTCAGTTACAATTCAATGATATGCTCCTGATTTTCATAATAAAACTCCCTTATTTATTCCAGAATATTATATTTTTAATTTTAAGCAACGATGGATGGCATCAGTTTAGAATAGTGTCCTCTCTCCTTCCCCCATGCTGCATTAAGAACCACATCCACATTAGTGGGTTGGCTCCCTCTCCTTGTAGAGAAGCCAAATGCTCTGCAAGCCCCTATAAGCTACTTCTGGTCCTACCCAAAACTTAAAACCAAGACCATCTTCCTTCCCTCCTGGGTGGAATGTTAAACCTTGATTCGAAGTAAAGTAAGAAAAGCTTATTCTTACTGCTCTCCCCATGCAAGACACTATGTTTGAGGACCAGTCATTTGGGAATTGCTTCAAAAGGCACATTTATTCCAGTGGCAATTTAAATAAGCAAAGAATAAGATCAAAAACAAAACAAACAAACAAAAACCAGGATGGGTTCTGTGGAATACATTAAAGTAAACAAGAATCTGGGATCTTTACAAACCACTTGAGCTCCAATCGTTTAACCAGAGTTCCCTAAGGTGGAATAATTCACAGTTGTATCATGACATACATAGGCTGTCAGAAAACACTGTTTAAAAAAGTAGTTGAGAATGCTCAAGCAGCTTGCCCTGATGTCCAGTTCAAGTGTATGCAATGCAGAAGGCTGCAAAATTCAAAACTATGGGACAAAGAAAATTCAGTGCATATCACAGGCTTTGATAAATTATGAAAAATCATTGTATATATTACTATTTAAATAACATCTGAGAAACATTTTTTGAAATAATTAACTTGTGTTCACATTCCATGCATTTTCTAGCAGGTTAAGCCCTAGGTTTGTGTCTTTGTGCCTGTTTCCTACAAAGTTCCATTCTTTTGACAAATCCAAGCATTTCTCAAACTGAAATTGAAGTACCCAGGGATTTGGTCTATTTACCCTCTTTACTGCATACCTGACCCCACAACAGCTACTCCTTATTACCACTGGCACAGATGACTGGAAAAGCCAACTCTTTGGGGTTTTATTTGGGATATTATTTGCTGCCCTTGAAAAATCCCTGGGTGTCACAGACACCATCTGAATTTTTTTCCAGGAACAAGAATCAGTGACCATCTCTCTCCTGCTTGACTCCCCCACCCCACCTTCTCCCTCTTCCAAAGCCCCAAATGGACTGGGAGCCCTTTGTAGCAGTGGGCTTTTCCCCTATGGTTTTGCAGCACCCTCCTCGAGCAACGAAGGAAACATAACAAAACTTGAAAACAAACCAACAATAGCAACAGACACTCCAAATAGGTGGGCAAACCAGTAGCCTCCTCCAAGGTGGAGGTTCACTTTTTACTGCAGATTTCGGAGCTGTTTAGGAATTTCCTGATGACTAGCCCCAGGCAGACCACTAGCAGCAGCATGTAGCCCACGGTGCCTGAGAAGGTGGGCGCAGCAGGCGGAGCCTGGAGGAACTGGCGCAGGCCCTCCTCCACATAGTACACCTGGTCGTAAATGCTGAGGAAGGTGAAGATATGGAAGAGCTGGTGGCTGTGGCCGATGATGTCAAAGAGGCCTGGCTGGATGCGCTCAGGGATCTTGCTCACGTTGAAGAAGGCGGCCACCACCAGCCAGAAGTAGCGGCGGTAGAAGTGCACGAAGAGAGTGGGGTTCTCACCACGCAAGTCGAAGAGCCAGCTCTCCAGCATAATGGGACAGGCCATGCTGAGCGGCATGACGAAGACGAAGGTGCGCAACGCGAACGGGTAGTGGCACCAGTCGGTGCGGCTCTTGCAGCAGGCCACGGTGCAGGCCACCGCCAGCACGAAGGCGACAGGCAGCACCAGAGCACGGTAGGCAGCGATGAGGTGCGTGCAGTCCACATGCCAGCCCAGGCGCTGTTGCACATATGGGGTCATGACCCTGGCATCCAGTAGGCTCAGGCCAGGCAGCAGGTAGTAGTAGTAGGCCACGGTGCTGCCGAAGCCGTAGTAGCTGATGGACGCGTAGTCCAGGTAGAAGAAGACGGCACGCAGGCGCAGCGACAGGCAGCTGAACACGTGCGCCGTGCAGCTCATGGCGAAGGTCAGCAGCACGCCCGACGCATAGCACCACAGCGGCAGCAGCCAGGGGTGGTGGAAGGGCACGTCGCCGCCGCTCAGGAAAAACAGACGGCAGAACTTGCTCAGGAACAGCAGCAGCGGGATGAAGTGCGTCCAGAAGTTGAGCGTCTCATTGGTAGGCTTCAGCACCGAGGCTAGGCACTCCTGGGCCGTGCACGGCAGACGCCGGTAGCCCGACAGGATGAAGCACTCCACGAAGTCGTCAGGCACCTCGTCCCAGCGCAGCAGCGGCTTGGCCGACGCTGGGGGGTCCCCAGAGGCGGCAGGGTGGGAGTGCCGGGCAGCCGCCGAAGCTGCCGGGGCCGTGGCGGGAGGGCCCTTTGTGCCCGCGCCCCGAGGCTGCAGGCGCCGCGGCATGGTGCCCGGGGTTCGGCTGGGGTGCGCGCAAGCGACCTCTGGCGCCTGCTCCCGGGCGCTTGGTAGACCCGGCTGGCCGCCGTCGGAGCCTTTGTGCCCGCGCCAGGGGCGTCTTTGCAGGTTCAGGAGAGGACCTGCGCCTCCGAGCAGCCGTTCCTAAAAAAATAAATAAATAAAATAATCAGTTAATAGGCAGCGCGGGGACTGGCAGGAGCGCGGAGCGCGCGGGGCTCGGCGGCCCACTCGCCAAGCTCCCTGCTACCGGCGCGCGGCCGCCCGCGCTGCGACAGCGGCGGCGGCGGCGGCGGCGGCGGCGGAGGCGGCGCGGCACGGCGGACTGCGGCGGCGGCGGCGGCGCTGCTGCTGCGGTGACTGGGCATCGCGCGGTGCGGGCGCCTCCGCCGCCGCCCCCGGAGCGAGAGGCGGGGATGTGCGAGCTGAGGCGCGGAGGAAGGGAGGGACGAGCGCACCGAGAAAGGGAGGGGGCCTCCCGGGCTAGGGTTTCGCAGCCGCTTCGGGGGATAGAGTTGTCCCCAGTCTCGAGTTCCATACCATCCCCCTTCTCGGGCCACAGCAGCCGAGCCGACCCGTTAATGATTGATGCGGGGGCCGAAGGCTGGCCAGCGGCTTGGCCGCGCGCGCCGAGGGCGAGGGTCTGCGCTGGGGTTCGAAACCCGACAGCCGCGCCGGCGTTCTAGAGGACACTGGGGAGCCGCGTTCGCAGGGGGCGGGGAGCCGCGGCCGCGGGCGGGCGGGCGGGCGTGGGGGGGGGAGGGCGCCCGGCGCGCCCGAGCTGGGCAGGGCGGAGGGATGCGTTAACAGTAATCTCTGGAGGTGGCCTGGGAGGGGGAGCACTCCGGAAATCTGGGGGCTTTGTCCGGATCGGGGCCGTGTCATTGTCAGATACCTGGGACTGCTCCTCTCTCAGCTTTGCGCGCGCGCACGCGTGTGTGTGTGTGTGTGTGTGTGTGTGTGTGTGTGTCGGCCTCTGTGCTCTGTACCAAGCCTTAGTTTATTTCCTCTGGTCTAGCGGACTTACTCAGGTGCGTCACCATCCTCCCCCATTTCCCTCGCCCTTGTCCGGTCCAAACGGACCATCCCCAAACTGGCCTGCGGTTCAGCCGCAGCTCACCCGTTTTCTTGTGTCTTTAGCTAGGAATCTTGTTTGGAGTCCAAAGTCCGGCGCCTCAGAACCGGCAGCTCAAACTCCACATTTTAATGAAAAAAAATCATGTCATGGCCGGGCGATCCCGAAAGCCTCTCATGACCTGAAGGAGTGTTTTAAGGGGTTACAAAGCAGAGCCGTGCTTGAGTCGAGGGCCGAACTTAGTAGAGAGCATCGATGAGGGAAATCTTAAGGGAGGAGGTGCCTTCTAGCCCGAACTGAAAAGAGAATGAAGACCAATTCATAGAGAGAGGGAAGGGGGTGGCTTGGATAAAGCTTATGTATAATTAATTAACCAGAAGTACCTGACAGGCTAGGTTGGATGGCTGAAGGCCAGAAGAAAGGAAGACTTGAAGAATCTAAATGTGTGGTGCACTGCGGTGTGAATATATGCCCTTGAGCCTTGAAGAAAGGGGCTAAAAAATCTGTATGTTCTAAAATGTTCACCATGTCACAGGAGTTTTAGTGATGCCTTGGGGATGTGACTGAGTCGAACTTGCATTTCTGACGTGGGAAAAAATAGAGCTGACTTTCAAGGGGCCAGGCACTGTTCTAAGTGCTTTACAGTTTTTAAATCTTTTAAGTATAATCTCTCCCATTTTACAGACAAGGGAATGGAGGCACCACGACCATAAAGAACATGCCCAAATGGTAGAAGGGGGATTTAAACCCAGGTAGGCCGCTTCTATATTTTAAGTATTAAATCAGAACAACAACCTGCTTTGCTCTAAGGAAACTGGTAGTTTCTGATGTAGGAAAAGGCTTTCATTTTCATCTTAAAGTTCATTTCATTATTGTAAAAATGAAAGGCTACTTTGATCACTACAGCAAATCCTGTAAGTAGGTTAAGGAAGATTTACTTCACAGAGGCTCAAGATGGATTTAAGTTATGGATAAGAATAATTTATAACTAGGATATCATTCAGTATTGTAAATGTCTAAAATTACTTAAGGATACTAGAAACAAGTCTCTTTAGAAGTTACAGACTTTACAGACTCCTCTCTGAAATGTGTTTTCCAGGAGTAATTGATTGAGCAAACTCTTACACAATTAGGCCAAAGGTACACTTTGGTTTTCTGCCTTTCTGAACTATCATACATTCCTGATTAGTGGATTTTTAATAAATGAGGTTTTTGCTGTAGTTATTTAACCGGTATTTTGTTTTAGGGTTTTCTTGTTTTCCACTGTCTGTAGTCTTGTTTTAAATTGAAATCTAATTTCCTTTCACATCTGGACTAAGGACCCATGCTAATTTGTAAAAGGGTTAAAGATTCAGGCATTTAAATCAAGCACAGGAATGATAAACCTGAATCCAGGGCAAAGCAGACCATTTTTTTTTTCATATTCCTTTTGTTACTTCACAAACAACCTTGGCTGTAGCTTGTAAAAAATGTTGATCTTATAACAATTCCTGTATTTATCAACCTCTTATGGTAGTTGCATAATCAACTCACTTACATAAGCTGGAAAAATATAATAGAAAGTTCACTCCAAGAAAAATAATGGAATTGATTGTAAATGAGTGTGTGCAAACTCTAGTTAGATACAATAGTATTTATCTTTATGACTAAGAATGGTGAGATTGACTCTAGTAAAATATGGTGTTCTTTTAAAAATAATCAGTATTTTATAAAGTCAAAAAATCTGTCATAACATCTTATAAGTCTTTTAGAAAGTCTTTGTGGTATCTGCTTTTCTCCTTTCTCAAACATCCCCTACCCACTGTAAGGCACAAAACCAACTGATGTTATGGAGGGAGTGGTGTTCGTGAAGGTTTTCTGGTGCAGAGCTTAGATAGCTGTCCTTGCTGTTCCTTGACAAAGCTAAGTAAAAAGGAACTAAGGAAACAGCAGAACTGGCGTAATTTATAAAGTAAAACAGCAATGTGACCTTTTCTTAGTCACTACCAATCTATAGAATTAATTTCTTTTAATTTTTAATTGAGATATAAAATTGTGTTCCTGAAATTCTGCACAGGCTGAGTTTTGTGATTTGGGAAACTGTCTCTTGTCAGTAGGAACCACGCTCACATTCGTTGGGCTTGGCTAAACAGATAGAAGTAATGGGCAGGCCGCCATTTCCTGAAGGTGCACTGGGAGATAAGGCATCTCTAAGGACTGAATGCAAATTTTTTGACAGACAAGAATCAGCAGGTATCACATTGGAAAGCTATCCCTGGTGTTTAGAGGCAGAAACCACCGAGTTCTCCCAATTGAAATCCCATCAAACTGAGCCCACAAATGTAATGTTGAAAGTCTATACATTTGAGTGCTAAGGGGTTCTTACTGCAAACTGCGGTCGTGTGTAGGAGCTGTAGCAAACTGGACAAATGCCTTTACTAATCGGTTTTGCTCTGGTGGTGTTCTTATAGATTAACTATAAGATCTATAAGTATTTCTCTGTGTTTCTCTCTGCAGAAATAAAATGAAGCATATGTAAAAATTCCACAGCAAATTTGATGTTGTCTAATAAGGGCAATTAACTAGCTATCTGTAAAACCTGCAGAAAACGTACTGTGTTATTTACTAATAATACAGCTGTTTTCAGAGGAAATAATTTTTTTCTAGTCTCATTTTTAGCCAAAAACCAACCAACCAGCCAGCCAAACAAACCACTGTGAACCTTGTGCTTACTTGTACCCAAGACTATATAAAGCAAATTATGTAGGGTTCAGTCTTTCTCCTAAGAACATACAGTTTAAACAAAGTGCTTCCCTTTTTCCCAAATTGAAAACAGCCATGATGTTATCAGCCAAACTCTTCCGGGTCAGATACAGCCACTACCAAATAATAGAGTCTGAGCTTCCTAATGGAAAACATCGTGGTATCAGGTGTAACTGCAGCAACCTTTGGGACAAGTGCAATCAGAAAGTCAGGTAGAGGGCTAGAAGCTGGAGAGAAAGCAGTGGGAGAGTGAGTTCTTACCTGGCACTATTCCTGCTTGTTACTGAGTGACAGGGATCTCTTTTGAAGAAAAGCTAAGGGAAATTTGTTGAGGATGTTTTTACCTTTTAAGGTTCTATGTAGGGAGTGACAATGCCACACTCCCCCCCTCTCTACAAGTTCACCTCTTCTCTACCAGGGGTCTTCAATGTGGTTGTACAAGAAATCTAATGAAGAGGAGGAATTAAATATTATAACTTCTATTTAAATAGATCTCATCCTTTTCAGTGTTTATACTCTGTGCAAGTTTTATAATGCATTTACTATGTAGTCCATGAGGTAATTTATAAACAATATGTTGGGGCACAGGAGGGCCAGAACACTTTGACTGATAAGGGTGTGCAATCCAGACTACCTTGACCTCTGCTTGATAGTTCATTGCTCATCTGCCCAGCCTGCTTCCATCCCCTCTCCCACGTCCAGGAAGGACTCCCCTTTCCTGCCACTCAGGTTTGGGGGTTTGGGGGTCACCATCTGTCAGCCAACAGTCTCCAACCTCTGACCAGACCTGCCCAAGTACCTGGGCCTTCAGCCACTTCCACAGCACCCTTGGCTTAGGATGGTGGTCTCCTTTTTGTAGTTATGTCTCCCGGTTCTGCCCTTCCTGTTTCCTGAGCAGAGCCTATATTGTCCTCCTAGAAAGACTTCATATTTACATGTTATATTGAACCTAATACAGAGTTACCCTTTGGGGAGGAAACTTGTTTTATCATAGGCTTGCTTTTGGTAGGGCCTTTTGGATAGCTTCCATTTATTTAACTTGAGAAACATTGATATGAGTATGTGAGCTAGATCACTGAGTTCCTACTCCCAATTATTTATTGACAGTTTTCTTTGAAACATAGTGCTTTGCACATAGTAAGCACTCAACACATTGTTGCTTGGAAATTTTTTTGGTACTATAACCCTTTAAAAGGTTAGAACTTTGAATGGTAGAATCTTAGAGCAGAAATACCACTTAATCCTTAAAGTCATCTTGCTCGACTTTCTTCCCATTCATGATATTTGTTTTGGTTTTTTGATCACATACTATATTCAGGTACTGTGATAGGAACTTTACACATGTTATCTCTCTCAGAACACTCTTTGCAAGGCAAATGCACTATCCTCGTTTTCAGACACAAAAACAGAGGATTGGAGCGATTAAGCAGTTGGTGGGTGGTAGAGCTGGAGTCCAACCTCGTTCATCCCAGACTCCCCACTCTTTTCTCTATAGGGTGCTGCCTCCTCAGAGCTGTTGTGTAGCCAGCCATGAACGTCTCCAATGAAAGGACTTACTACCTCTAATGGCTTCCTCTTCCATTTTAAGATGTTTTTCATTATTGTTGTTGGAAAATTTGTAAGTAATTAAATGAGCACAATGGATGACAAAAATGCACTGTTGCATCTGGGCCCAAAGCTCAGCTGCAAGTGTTATTGAATAAGGTCATCAGTTGGATCTGATTAGAAAGCGCCTCAAAAATGATGCCAAATGAGTATGTGTACATTGTGGAATGTGATGGATGGATATTGATTAGGCACATTTAGCATAAAGAACACCTTCCTGCAAATGAATACCATCTCGCATAGGTGGGGAACCTGTAGCCTTCTGG